AGGGGATTAGCCATTTTGGATCTAATTCTCACTAACAGAGATGAAATGATAGAAGGTGTTGAAGCCATAGGAACCCTGGGAGGAAGTGATCATGCAATATTAGAATTCAACATTATGGAAGCACAAGCAATAGAACACAGTCAAACTAGAGTCTTGGACTTCAAGAGAGCTAATTTCAATAAACTTAGGGCTTGGGAAGGATTCCGTGGATGAGAATCCTCAAGGGGAAAACCACTCAAGAAGTTTGGGAAATTTTGAAAAATGAGATAATAAAAGCCCAGTCTAGCACAATACCAACAAAGAGGAAAAATAACAGCTCTCAAAAGAAACCAGCATGGCTGCATAAAGAACTCTCTGACAAATTGAAAGATAAAAAGGACAAGTATAGAAAGTGGAAAGAGGGGCACATAACTAAGTCAGAATATCAGCAAATAGCCTGAGCCTGCAAAGATGAAGTGAGGAAAGCCAAGGCTCAAAATGAACTAAGGCTTGTGACCCAAGTCAAAAATAACAAAAAAAGCTTCTTTCAACATGTAAAAAACAAGAAAAAAGTGAAGGAAATGATTGGTCCATTAGTGGGTGAAAGTGGCAAGAAGGTGACAAGCAACAGGGAGAAAACGGAACTATTTAACTCGTTTTTTGCATCTGTCTTTACACAAAGGGAAAAAACAGACCAACCTATCAAAAATAGTGCCATAAAAAACAGAATAAAAACACAAGTTAAGATAGGCAAGAAAATGGTAAGTGAGCACCTGTCCAGCCTAGACGAGTTCAAATCGCCAGGACCAGATGGATTACACCCCAAGGTTCTCAAGGAACTGGCAGATGTGATCTTTGAACCACTGAACTATATTTTTCAAAGATCCTGGAGCACAGGGGAACTACCAGAGGACTGGAAAAGAGCTGATGTAGTTCCCATCCTCAAAAAAGGAAAAAAAATGGACCCAGGAAATTACAGACCTATCAGCCTGACCTCAATACCTGGGAAGAGCCTGGAAAAGATAATCAAACAACGAATCAGCGAACGCCTAGAGGCAAACAGAGTCATTACTAAAAGTCAACATGGGTTTGTCAAAAACAGATCATGCCAGACAAATCTTATTGCATTCTTTGACCAAGTGGCAAAATTAGTGGACCACAGGAATGCTGTGGATGTAATTTACTTGGACTTCAGTAAAGCGTTTGATAATGTAGATCACAACCTACTACTTGATAAGATAGAAAAATGTGGGTTAGACAGCATCATCACCAGATGGATTCGTAGCTGGCTGACCAGCTGTACTCAGCGTGTGGTCCTCAATGGAACTGCATCTACATGGAGGGAAGTGTGTAGGGGGGTCCCCCAGGGCTTTGTTCTAGGCCCAGTGCTCTTCAACATCTTCATCAACGATTTGGACGAGGGGATAGATGGGGAACTCATCAAATTTGCAGACGACACCAAGCTGGCAGGAATAGCCAACACTCCAGAAGACAGGCTTAAGATACAGAAGGATCTGGACAGACTTGAATACTGGGCACTATCTAACAAAATGAAATTCAATGGTGAAAAAAGCAAGGTTCTACATTTAGGCAAGAAAAACCAAATGCACAAGTACAGCATAGGTGGCACCTTGCTCAATAGTAGTAACTGTGAGAGGGACCTCGGAGTCCTAGTGGACAATCACCTAAATATGAGCCAGCAGTGTGCTGCAGCTGCCAAAAAGGC